CAGCACCGAGCTCTGCGGTCAGCCACCACTGTGGGAGGGATGTACAAGACAGCCCCAAAGCACTTGCCAGTTGTGGAAATTCCCTTTCTGCCAGCAAGGGAATCGTAGAATGGTTTGGGTTGGAAAGGACCTTAAGATCATCTAATATCAACTCCCTGCCATGGACAGGAACACCTTCCACTAGATCAGGAAACAAGTATGCTTTAACACCCAACAATTAGGATGCCTCTCTGGGCCTCTCAATGATCCTGACATGAGAGCAGAGCTGTACATCTTTATGAGCATATGTTGTTGCTCCGTACCCAGGATTGTTGCCAGCCATAGCGGTCCTTGCAGCCTTGTGAATTTGATGACAGCAGTGACAGCTGGAAAAGTTAAAACCAAATGCCTGGAGCTCTAGCAATCAAACATCTTTTGTAAATATCGGTATTTTGAGAAGAAAAAAATGGTGCAAATTGTAGGTGATATCTAGTTGATAAACTGCTAAAGTAGTAATACCCGAGATCTATTTGATCTCGGTTTTGCTTAACTCAAGCTCAAATAGCAAGGTTCTGCAAAATGAAATTTTATTTGGAGACGGATTACCTCCAAACTTTCTCTTTCTGAGCCCTTTCTAAAAACCACAGACGTAAAGTAATACCAATCAAGAAACAGTATTGAAGTCACTTGTATCAAAATACTACCTGTCCTGAGATTAACTTCTGATGTGGTCTAGCACAGGTATGGCACCAACGGGTGAACTTTAATATATGCTGTCCCCCATGTCTAAGTATCTCCTGCATCTAAGTGTATGTAAAAGTTTAGGCCTAAAGCCAGAGGAAAAAAAAATACTTTCATTCTCTGTGATCACAGACTGCAAATGTCTTGAGTCAGGATTGACTTGTAATGCAATGGGTGGACAGTATCTAGATATAGGGGAACCCAAATCTCTCAATCTCTCTATACATTTCTGTAACACAAGTGATCATTAACATTACTTCAATGTAATAATGGCATCTTTCTGAATGATTTAGCTTTTCAGAAACAGGCAAGAACACCCCTAGTGTATGTTTTCCTATGTTTGAAAGCATGCAATTAGATGTGTATCTTACAAACATAAACAAACACCTCCTATCCAGCCTCCCTGTTTCTACAAAAACCCCAGGTTTGTTTAGACAAAGGGTTGATAATCCAGTTTGAACACAGGTACCTGAATGCTGTGACAGCTTCTTCATAATGCTTAAGCTTATGGTACATTACACTTTAAAGCAAGATAAACTCCGGCTTTCATTTTATCAAACATCTTCCCAGACAGCAAAAAGAAAGACACAAAGCAATGTCTGCAGCTACAACCAAGCATGGGATACCCAACTCAGTGTATGTTTGAAATGAAAATGAAAAATATGTTGCATAGATATAGTGTTGTATTTTTCAATAGAAAATATCACTGGGATTTGTAAATGTTAACCTCATTCCTCCCTTAAGTGTTTGTTTTTATTTCATGCCTGAAAAACAAAAGAGAGATCCACAGAGATGAAGTGAATAGAAACAGCAGTCCTTGCAAAGAAAGTGCTCTTAAATCAGTTTGGCTAGTAGAAATCACAGGGGATGGGAGAGACATGGACAAGAGATCCTTTTAAGAGCACTCAGTGTTGTGCTACTGATATTGCTAAACTTTATGTATTTAGCCATATTATGCCTTTTTGTGGTTGCTAAAGGAGTAATATCATCATTTATCACAGTAGTAATGAGATAGCAACAGCTGTAGAAGAATCCATGATATGAAGTGTGCAAGAAGGGACTTTGACCTACTGAAAGGAAATATTAAGGATGGGAAGGGTAGCAGACAAGTAAGTTCTTCAGGAATGGGGGACAGCACGCAGGCTTGAGCAACCTCTTAAATTAATAGTTTAATAAAAAGGCAACCGCAGGTTTGATTCTTCCCATTTCAAATCTGAAGAGACAATGTACCAAAAAGCTTCGCTGTTCTTTCTACTCCCAATGTTAAATCAACTACCTTAAAAATCCTCTCCTTAGAGCTGACTTAAGGTCATGCAGAAGAAAAACACTGAGAGATTCTAGTTGCTGAATTTTCCACCGATTTAAAAATGGCACAGTACACTACCTTCGTGTTGTACTGATGGCAACACATGAGAAATCAAAGATCTACTATTAGAGGACTTGTTACAAAGGGTTATTGATCTTCACTGTACCATGAATAACAGTCTAAAAAACATTATTAAATCATCCAAGTTTCCTCCTAAGACCCGTATCTTCTCTAGAAATTTATTTTTACTCACCTACAGCTTCTCCTCCCTTTACCAATCAACCCTTGCTTCTTCACCCCCCCACCCCATTTCATATGACCTCACCCAAAAATGTGAAGTGATTGGTCTTATCACAACTTAGCAAGATACCACCTGCCAGATGAACTGTGATAAATCACAGCTGGCCTTGCAATACACGTCACCAGTGCTGATGGATGGTGGAGCTGATGGGGAGCAGCTCAAGGCTGTCATTTAAACCACCAAGTACCCCCATCCACAAAACCCATGCAAACGAAATAGCCCAATAACATGACAATTGCCATCACCATGTTGTTATTCTAATGTTGCATTAGATCTATTGACTCTCTTCTCTACCCATAACTATCTTCTGTTTAGCTTGTAAGCCTTTTACAGCCACCAAGGTGGGCAAACTGCCTATTCTCTGTACTCACACAACAGCTGACACAATATGACCCCAATCAATCATAAGCCGCTACCATAACAAAATTTACAACAGCAAACACTCATTCCTCCCTCCCCCCCTTCTGAAAAGATACAACGGTAGCAGAAAAAAAAAAAGCTGGAAAAAGAATTTTGAAGTTATTAAAAAATGAGATGAAGGCTTAGAATGAAAAAGTCAAAGAAGTTGAAGAGTTATTACTTTATTATTACTCCTGCCATACATAAAACTTGTGTCTTCTGACTCCTAGAAGAGTCAAACAGTTGGGTATGCAACACAATAGTAATAAAAACATTCTCTAGAGTTAGGGACATGCATTTCTATTAGCAACCCTCTACATACTTCTTAAATAATTCCTAGAACCCAAGGTCTCTTCCTTCCATGAAGGAAGCTGTGAGCATGCGGTGGGTTTCACTCATTTGTTTAAACAGACAAGTAATAAACTCTCAAATAGGTTGACAACAACAACCTTGCAGATATGCTTGAAGCAATTAACCTCAGTGCATTTTACTGAAATAAGTGCATCTGAATAGCTTAGCCACCAGGGAAGCCTAACAATAGCCATAGGTGTTGCCCACATATTTCATTGCAGGTTTAAGAAACACCAGCTTCTTATTGGAAGAATGACTTATAGACACCTGTATTTAATAAGCTACTTCAAATCAACCTGTATCTGTAGGTCAACAAGACTGGCTAGTAATACCCATTAGCAGTTAAGAGTATAAAACATTTTCCCATCTAAAACTCAGTCTTCCTTTACTTGATGCCTTCACAAAACTCATCTTCAGCCAGGAAAAGGGAAACACTGAATGGGGTTTCTCTGCTGTAAGGGAATTTCCCACATCACCTCTAAATTGGACTTTTTGAAACATATGGTAGGCACTCAATTCGGCAGCTGACTGTCCTAATGCCTAATATGGTAGGCACTCAATTCAGCAGCCTGACTTGAGTCTGCAATCAGAGCTAGGTTTGTTTATGGCAAGACCAAATTCCACACTAAACTGCCACATCTTTACTTCAAGGGGAGGAACAGCCTTCTTCAAATTGAACCAGAAAATGAGGCTCTGGAGAATCACGCACCAGAATGTACCCTACATTTACACAGTGTAGTTCTATGTCTTCAGAGAACTCAGCACATCTTGGCATGTACTATGTAGAAGCACCAGGCTCTTTCAGCAGACTCACAGGTAGCCAGATTCTGCTGCATTTCTGAACTGTGGATGTGCCTCTGCCCTCACCCTCGTTCCCTTAAAAACTCCCAGATATGCACAAATGAACAGCTAAACAGCATGGCTTTACTGAAAAATCTAGTGCTGCCATTCTTTTTCCCAGTAAAATTCAAAGGAAGTAGGACTTGCATGTTTGTGGTGATTTGCTCAGATCTTAAGAAAGCAGGCTCACCCACCTATCTGATACGGAAACACACATCAAATATGGACTTGACTCTCCTTTAGTCTCTTTACACCCTCCCTTGACACAGAAGGAATTTGAACAAAGCTCAGCAGGGTCAAAGAATGAAGAAATATAGGCAGAAGTGATCTGTCATTTACACTGCTACAACAATTGTGCTAAACTCATGGAGTCATCACTATTCTCTTCAATATGAGTTTTGAGGTTTTGGCAAAGGTTCTTTTTCTACCACCATCCCTGAAACTTTTTCTTGAACACACATACAAATGAGAAAAAAAAAAAAAAACAAGCAACCCACATTGGTTGAATGAAAGGCAGGATTTGAAGAGGTATTCAAGTAAAAACAGTCCAAAAAGCACTCCAGATTGGCTAATATAATTTCTGGAACAAATGAACAGGGTGCTGGGTTTTTTTCATTTCAGTACAGCTCACTGCAATGCCTACTGTGCTAACCATTAGGGCTGCTATTATTCTGATTTGTATCCACTACTCAGTGTGGAAAGAACAAGAGAAAAACAAGTGTGCAGCATAGCACAGAGAAAAGGTCCAACAAGTACTCGGTTTCTTCCTGACCAGCACCAGTGTTCCTACCACCTACAGAAAACTACTAAGAAACCAACACTGATAAGTTCTTCATTTTGAAGACAAATTTTGTCAGTGTTTTATTGGTCAAGAAAGAGAAATTATTGCAAGAACAGAATTCTCTAAAAAGCATCATGAGTTTTGTATTTATTTCAACCTCTGCATCCAACCCAATTCTCCCTCCATGCCCCTTCTAGCCAATTTCCATTTTTCTCTTATGAATAAAAGACTATATAGATGTTGAGGGAGCTTCAGCAGGCTTTGTGTCTGATACATAGTCCATATTCACCATTATCACTTACCAATACAGCAGGACCACGAAGACTGTCAGCAAAGCCAGGGTGAGAGTTGTACTGTTCATTTCTACAGAGACAAATGCCAGGAGATCTACAGGCTCCATTTTCCTCCACTACAGCTCCAGCCTTGAGTGGTGTGGAAGGGGAAAGTCTCTGCAAGAGCTGATAAAGCCTTCCACAGCTATATGAATGACTTCTGCAACAAAACAGGAACCAAGAGAGCAAAAATACATCAAGTTAAGCACAAACTGCAGACCTTCCCAGTTCTCATCTGCTGCACACTGTGAGAGAGAACTTGAAGGTTCCCTGAATGGTAGGATGTAGCAATCTCCCCCCTCCCACTGTTGTTGACTGTCATGCCAGTAAATATTTACATACCCATGGCTTGAGACATCAGTGCTGTTGAACAGGTTTTTAGACATCAAATATAGGAAACTGGAGAAAGTGTGGGGGGAAAAAAAGAGGAGAGAGCCTGACCATGGTACAGATCATGTAAAAAGAATATAAGGACCTTTCAAGAGTCCCCTGGCATATAAACAGCGGCATTCTCTGAAGCAACAAAACCAGGCATTTCTGCAATGTAAATCTTCATTCACATTTAATCTCCAAACGGTTATACCTTCAAAGAACAGAACAAAGTAAACTTTAAATAATCACAACTCAAAGGTGGATTTGGGGGAAAACTCTTCAAATGTAACTTCTAGAACACATATATAGAAAGAAAAATGAATTAGCAGAAAAGCCCAACTGTAGTACTAATAGGTACTGCAGTACTAATAGGTACCAGGGTCCATAAGACAGCATCTGTCACACTGGTTAGTCCACACAGGCAACATTATTTGGCAGTACCATCTCAGGTTCACAAGTGCTACAGCAAATTTTTCTGGCTCAGTGCAGTGTCCCCCTTGGAGGTACCATCAACCAGCCTCCCCAGAGATACTTTGGCTACCCCTGCATTGCATTTTAACCGTCAGGGTTAACATCAGTATGGCCACATCTAATATCTCTGCATTGTGGCACAGCCAAGCTGTCTACCTCCCTTGAACAACCTGTTCATGAACAGCCAAGCTTTGACTGCAGTTCAGAAAATGGTCTGTCCTTAGTTTATGAATTCCTCAGCTTTCTTCCATATGGGTTTAAACTTAAACAGGGGAAGTTCAGGTTAATATAAGGAAGAAGTTCTTTGCTGTGAAGGTGGTGAGGCACTGGAACAGGTTGCCCAAAGAAGTGGTAAATTCCCCATTCTTGGCAGTGTTCAAGAGCAGGTTGGACAGACCTTTGGGGGACATGGTCTAGGGTAAGGCATCCCTGACCATGGCAGGGGATCCAGATGATCTTAAGGTCCTTTCCAACTGAAACCAATCTATAACTCTATGATTCTGTATTTTCCTGCCTGCCAACCTCAATCCTGTTCCAAGTGCCCGATCCAGTCCAATTAGAAAGGTCAACCAGAAAGCAAATCTTGGAGCACTTATATGAGAGAACACCACCAATCTGTTACAAACAAAGTTACCAAATGATATTATCAAAAAGATCTTCAGGATTTCATTAGCAGCAACTTGCAAGTAGATGCTCTTGCCCATGACAAAATTCCCTGAATTGTCTGGTATTATTTGTTACTCATGAAACTAGAAATACCCATATAATACGCTACAGCCTTCCCACCCATTCCAAACAACCTGTTTGAAAGTTAAGAAAATCAAAGCTATCAAAAAAAAAAAACTAGGTTTGTGAATTATATAGTAAACTTGAGAAACAGAAACTCTGCAACATCTGATTCCCATACGACACCAGATGAAGAGTGGTTTCTTCTCATATAACCCCAAGATACTAGTTTAGATTTAATGTGAAAGGCTTCTCCAATATCACTGTATTACATTTCCTGCTCTTATCAGAGAAGTTAATAATATAGGTATCAAAAAAGTGAAGTCTCTAACACAATGGAGTTTAATTTTAAGAAGATTTGGCTCTACTCTAACTGAATCACTGCTATTTTGGTTCTCTGTGCTTCACAACTGCATTAATTCCCTTCCAGCCTCAGATCCTTGCACAATAAGTAAAAGGTGTTAACCAGCTCATCAGCTCCACAGAATACCACAGTAGTCCACAGAAAACCTTGCTTATTGTATTAACAATGCTATTGCTATTCTGGGTCAATAACAGCTCTGCCAGTTTGCTGCTGCTGCCAATTTCTCCAAGAACAACCGCAACAAGATTCAAGAGCAGTGATGCAAGGAATTAATCAGCAAGCACAAGCCAATCCCAACCAGCAATAGATCCTGTGGGGCTATAAGAAAAACTATAAAAAACAAATATCCATATGCATTAAAGTCTCTTCAGAAAAACTAAACCAATCACCACAAGTGTAGAAGGTAAGAAATAATATTCCAATTTCACTGTGCTTTGATTTACTTGGCTTTTTTAATTAAAGGACATATTTTAAAGCACATAGAGGGCTATGTCCCTCCTATTAAAGTCAACAGCAAAACTCCAATCAGCAAACACAGAGTCAAGTACAGACCTCACTTATATTTTAACAAGCACTGGAGCCTTTTCCCAGTCACAATGGGAGGTAGGTGGGATGAATAATCCTTAGATGCACATCTTATGAAGAAAAATAGGCTCTCTTATCAGAATCCAGTTTTGAAGAGAACACATAAGCTCCCAACAACAACAACAACCATCCTTTTCTGTTGTTGATACTGATTTGGGCTTTTTTTCTTCTTTTTATTTTCAAGTCTTGGTACCTGTTTCTTGTTGAAGTGCTTTAACTCAGCACCTCCAGACATTAAGAAGGGTAGCACACAGCATTGATTCTAAAACTCATCTGGAGCTCTCCTCACCACAGACCCATGTGCTCACAGTTATCAACCCAGAGTTAAGGATCTCAGCTCCATCAAGAGTCACAAAAATCCGCAATGCATTGCAGAGGAAAAGGGCTCAGAGATGCAGACAGTAATGAAAACAGGCTATTTATTAGTTCCTTTACATGAGAAACACCATCCTAATCAACTAGTTATTATCACAGACATTTTTCACCAACTTCTCAGCTCTTTTTGTGGAGCCATGCTCGTCAGTTCTTTGATAATAGGTTAAGGGTTGGACTTGATGATCTTAAAGGTCTTTTCCAACCTCAACAATTACATGATTCTATAATGGTATCAGAGAACTATGAAGACAGATACAAAGTCCTCACTAACCTCATGATGGAGGAAGCCAGAGACAAGCAGAAGTGGAAAAGAGCCTTTTCCTGTTAGAATGCTGAGAGTCAGCAACGCTGTCTGTATTTGCTTCCACAAGGCTTCACTTCAGATTGCATCTACCAAGGTTCACAGCTCCTTCACGTGGTGCCATCCAAGCTCATCTCTTCTGTAGCAAGTAAAATCCACTGATCACCACCTTTTTCAACACAAACTTCAACAACAATAAATGTTCAACACAAAACTTACATTTAAGACACCCATCTCATCCTTTATTTCCCAGCACAGCCTTGGAGCTCCCCAGCAAATGGCAGACCTACCAGACAGAAGCAGTTCAATCCCAAACAGCCAGAGCTTCAGCCTACATGGGCATTCACAGGAGTAAATATTAGAAGGGGGAGTACATTATAGCATTCAGTGCCTGAGAAGTTGAATTGTTCCTCAACTGAAAGAGAAAGAAAGAAAGAAAAAAAAAACAAAAAAAACAAACCAGAACCGAGAGAACCCAGATTTCCCAGGAAGCCTTCATGATTTAAAGCTCTGACTGCTGTGACTCCAAGAATATCTTCTGTAAATGCTCTTCCAGAACAATGCGCTTCGACTTCAAAAGTAATACAAGTGGAGCAATGAGACTCAGCAATGCTTGACATACACAAGTATCATTCTAACATGAAATACAGAGCTTATTAAAAAATAGGATTACAGACCTTCTCAGTAGGCCTAAATCATGTTAAGGATTTTGACCTGTCTTCGAAGCATATCAAATGGAAAATGTAGTCTCATCTATTTCAGAGGCTAATGACTACACCTACTACACTAACCATGCACTCCTGCTAATGACCAAATTAAAATCCTCTCATGCTATTCTACCTTGTATGTATTAGGTCTGTAATAATCTAATTATGGTTGAGCCACACTCACGTTACGATAGATGAAGCAAGTCTAGAAAGATGTTTGCATTTCATAGCAGTTCATCTCTAGAAGTCTCCAGCACAGTCTTCAGATCAATGACATTCTGCTATATAGACAGCTTAGCCACAAAATACTGCAAATGAAATACAGTTAAAAAAAAAAAGTTTAATCAGAGACTACTTTATCTATAAGCTTTAACAAAGCTCATGAACAAAACTGTAAGTATATATGATATTGATTTATCTTAAAGACAAAAACTTTCTCAAAACCAAAATACATTCCTAACATTTTTAAGGTAGACCAACCAAAAAGATCAAAGGCACATTTAACAGACAGATTTTTTACATTTAAAACAATCTTAACAGCCAAAGTACCAGGAATATTAATGTATTGGAATAAAGAGATTTACAGTGGCTGCCTATGACTTCCTTATTACTATCCCTATCCAAGTATTGACCAAGCAGATTAAACAGATGATTTTGTACTCCTGCAGGATAAACTATGACAAACTACTCAACAGACAGAACACCGAAATATTGGAGTCCACTTATAAAGATCCTGCTCTGCATTCAAAATGGATGAGAGCACCATGGGCTCATGGAAGATCTTCAAACCACCTGAAATAAAATCACTCCAATGAACTGGATCTCAGAAGGCAAACAGTAACTGCGAAATGATGCCGAGGAAGCTGCTTTCACGATGCTTCCTGCTGAGAAACAGAAAGACACACTTTTATAGTTAAACTGTTTTGCCAAGTCAGAACCTGGTTATATTAACCAAAATGCTTCTCAGGAAACAGGCACCCAGGTTAAAATTCTAGGAAAGCTGAAATATTATGCAAACTTGTACTTCACTAACAAATTCAATCTTAGCTGTTTGAAAGTTATGGTACTTCAAACTCAGTCAACATCACAGGGTCTAAAAATCTCATTATGCTAACTAAATGTAGTGCTGCTGTACCAAGTCCCCTCTAAAGCAACAAGCTGTGAGATATCCTAGTTATTTCAAAGAACTCCACTTAGAAATAGCACAGATTTTGTGGTCAAAAGGAATGACAATTTTTTCTTCTTGCTGTGAGAGCTCG